CCCCCCCCCCGAGCTGCCAGCATTCTCTTCAGTTGTCAGAACCAGCTTATTAAAAAAAAATCGCTCAGCTGTAGCACCCTTTTAGTGCCTAGCTGCCATGCCAAACGAATGAGGCACGAGGGCTGGGATACTGTCAGATCGCCCAAGCCTAGACAGGGGAAGTCGAGAGGCAGACAGAGGTCGGGTTCGAACCACGGACCTTCCTGTCAGTAAATTCGCACTCTAACCACTTGGTCCATCTCGCCCCAGCTTATCAGCCATTGAGTGTATCATTTTCGGCAACAGTTCAGTTGACGATCCACCCCTGTACCCGCGTCCTTCATCTAACTTGTTCAACTCAAGCTTTAGTCTTTGATTCGAGACGGTCCCTCCAGTTTGTAAAGTACTATTGCTATGTTTTTCTGCCTTGAACCGCAAACAGGTCGCAGTTTCAGTCGGTCTGTCAGCGACTTTTCTCAAAGACGATGATGGATCTTTGTGTCTTACTTTTGCCAGTTTGTTGACCCTCATTCTGGAAAAAGAACACGTTCTGACAAGCTGAGATCAATCTATCACTGTGTCTTCAGTCAAAAAGGTTCCTGAAGTGACTATTTTGGGCCATAGAGGTATAAGCCATACATTAGCCGTAACAGGTCCACTAGCTTCGATAATGCTGAGGCGTCTGACTATCACGTGAGACGCAAATCCGAGAGCACCAGAGGGAATTTCAACCTGCTGGGGATCTACTGATCATATCCACATGTAATCTTGTCCATACCATTCACGAACTGGCGGTTTTCCTTGACTTCAACGGTGTCTTCCACCCGGTGGCGTATGAGGAATACCCTCGAAGTTCTTGGATATTTGTGCCACTTTATAATCAACCATCCAAAGTTTCTCCTATTTTTGTTCCGTTTTGCACTACTCTCCGAACCCCCACAAATCTGGTTGTCAAAATCACATTTGTAGGAAGATTGGGGGACTTATTCTATGCAGATAACATTTATCATGCGTCCGTACAAATTGCCCTGAAAAGAATCTCGGAAGTGGTCTCGAAGTGCGGAATTTCCAACTTCCCTGTATGCCTTTCAAGCCCTTCCGAATGGGGGGTTTGAGATCTTTGATGAGTTTGCTTGCTCTGTCAGATGTGGCGGATGAGGTGAATGCACAAATCACCAGGGAACGAGTGGTATTAGCCAACTGGCGTCACTTTTAGCCTCAAAAACGAATATCACCGGGGTTAGGGACCGTGCCATCAAGATTCGCCTGTGACTACTGCTACCTTGTAGCGGATGTATGACCGCAGGTATAACGGTCCTTAGATGGCCACAAATTAGTGATTCTGACTGATTTATGCAGCATTTAAGGCTTATCAGTTCTAAGTAGTTGGAATATGTACTGCCACGCACGTACTACCAAAAGGGAGCCTTATAGTCTAATCCATATATTCCAATCTGATTCTAATCAACTGGACAGTAGGTCACGTTGAATCTCATGAATCCCCTTGCACATTGCATGGCGAGTTTGTCGTTGCTTCCTAGCTGAAACTTGTTGTTCTTGTGTGCTGTGCTTGTGTTGAGTGAGATTCGCAAAGGGTTAGTTAGATCAATCCTACGAATGGTGTCTCGGTCTAACGTGTTGCTTAGATGTATTTAGTTCTGAAGGTGTAGACACCTTGTTTCTTTAGCGGCATGGGGACCACCTCTTACTGGAGCTTTCTGGCTTCGTGATTACACATCAGTTAACCAAACAGTTTACTGCCGATGTACTGTTACAAATTAGTTGACTTGGTGTACGACTTGTTACCGGGATAGCCGTGTACGTTGAATTAAACTTACTCAGAAGGACGGTTTTTGCATCGAACCGTTTCACAGATACCTCTGTCAGCCCGACACGATTGGTCGCAAGACGTTCCTCTCAACCGCCGTCAGCTGTTCCCTGTCGGGCACTCGAGTTGGATGGCAACATAGCTTCGTTTTGGGGCTCCACGTTTGCTGATATGCTAAATGGCGACAGTAAGCCGAAGGATCCCAACCCCGATGCGACACTTCCAAGAACTCGTAAGTCATTGAGAACCATTCACTTACCTTTTTACTTCAATGAATAGTTGCAGTCCCCTTTTGTTGCTCTTGTTCGTTCAACCCAACTGTCTTTTCACTGATTACGTCCCGTTGGAAGCTTTGGTGCCTTACTGCTTTCAAGTTTTCCGAGCCTTTACAAGTATTAATCTCAAGCCCATAGAGTTATCCTTGTTTCAACCTCTGTCCTCTTATGTGGTTCAGTCTTTTTTTCACACCTTTCTCCCAGTGAACCCTATTAATGTCGTATTTTTAATTAAAATTTTGTCCTGTCAGTGAAGTCTCTGTGCTAAGACGCCCAAAAGTACTGTACAGCTGTTTCATCCTTATTGGGAACATCAGCCGTGCGCATCTCACGAAACTCCGAAGAGTCTCAAACCCGCGACCTCCTGGCTAGTATTTTGAACACTTAACCATTCGGCCACGAGTGGCTGATCAGCAGTGTGATTAACTCACACTTAGACAGGATATAGCGCTGCTCATCGTTCAATCACGGGATTCACATCACGCGGTCACACGTTGACTGGCTCCTCGAGCAACGACTTCTCAGATTGACGTTTAACTCATCGGGTGAAGTTTATTCTTCCACTGAGCTACTTATGGATTGTTGGTAGTGTGAGGAGATTAAGGATTTTCGTGGAGATTTCGTCCTGTAAGTGAAGCATCTGTGCTTAGACGCTGTCTCATCTGTATTGGGAATCATCAGCCGTACGCATCTCTCACAAAACTTAGAGTTTCAAACCCGTGATCTTCCACCCAAACGTTTAGCCTCTGTGCTTAACTGTGACTCGTGGGCTTGAAACTCTGGTTTCATACTACTAATGATTCCCAATAAGGATCAAACAGCTGTGCAGTGCTTCTCGGCTTTCCAGTATAGATTGGTTTCACTTACAGGATGAAATCTCATTTGAAAATTACAGTCTCCTCAAACTGCGTTTAAGGTTATACTGTCTACCGACCTCTTTTATGCGCAGAATCTTGAGTCAGTCCCGGGCAACTGTCAGCCGGTGGCTACACCAAATTGGCACGTGACTCCTCTGACACCAACTCAGTATGATATCAGTTTACAAATGAACGTCCGCCCTGAGACCGAGATGGCACAGGCCATACAGTACTGACCGAAGATTCACCTCACTTCTATGCTTGATTAAAGTGTTTCAGACCTTTTACTCTTCGCTTCGTATGACAACTACGAACTGAGAAAGTGCAATGGCCAATGTACTTTATTGACATGGCTAACAGCAATAGGTCTCCAAGTCTTATTGAGAAGGACGTTGACAGTCCAGGTAGCATAGACTGACCCACCGTTACGCTCCATCCTCCCACCAACAACACACTGATGACGTCGCCTCGATTGGGGATGAAATGTTTGCATTCCAATTGTCCAGCTCAGCGAACAAACCAACGATCAGGTATCAAAATCTTCCTCTTCTCTCTCGTGTTAGCGCACAATTTTCTCTTCAGTTGTTCTCTTCGCGCAAACACGAACGGTGCCGATTTTTGCTTTCGATAACGCCAATGATTCAAATGTTTGGTTCCAAGCTTTGCACTTCTAACCAATCAATGCCACAGCCTGATCAGTGTCTATCCTAATGTTCTTTTTCAGTTCTCCTGTCTAGACCTGGGTGAACCAGATGGTTCCGTCTTAGATAGGCGCGGATAATACCGGACCACAATCGGTGCTGGTAACCATTGTCCGTGCGCGATATCTGTGTGCCACCATCAACCGTTTTGGCTAGCATTCGGTAGTTTCAAGTTTCCATTGTCCACTAACATTGATCTGCTGCTAGGCCAAACTGTGCTTCATCATTACTTTGTCCAGTAGCTTGTCCAGACTGACGCCAAATTAGCTGCGTTAACAGCAAACTGTGGGCAAGTCGCACATTTTGAAACTGCGGTGAGAGATAGATGTCATTAGTGGTAAAGGGTTCAGTCTGTTTTCTGTAAATAGCATGGAAGTCTCTATCAAAACCTCCAACAACCCATTGCCGGAGCTGTCCGATGTTGAAGTTTATCCGTTACCTTATAACTTTATGAATTGTGCGTTTGTTGAATATACCGTTCGTTTGGAAACAGCGAATTTCTCGTTGATTTTGAGTGTTCATTTGCGATTCGTGATAAATGATAGACTTATTCGAGTCTCGCGTTAGCAACTTAAATTCATCATTAAAGTCTAACATTCGCCTTGTATCCTCTTTTCCGGGTATCTAGACTTATATTTTGGCATTCCAGGTAGAGACCTGGTTCTGTCATTCGGCGTTGATCGACCGACCTCCGAACAGCCTAAAAGCGCCGTTCACGCATTTCCTCTTTTGACGATTTTTAGATGAATGCTAGGACAGATTCGAAACTTATCAGGATTAAGGATATTCTTGTGAGATACCTGCAAGAAACGCAACGACGTTCCCCTTGCAGCTGCAATCCAGTGTGATCTACAGAAAGGAAGTCACTTCTGATTTCCCTATGATGTTCTCTGTTGAGACCAGATATTTTTGTAACCCATCAAAAGAGAGACTCCGATGATTTTGAGCTCTCATCATGTACCATCTAACATCTCGCCAATGTTTTGATGGAGAACCACTGACTTGAGTGCCTTGTGTCCCATCTGAATTTAAAATGACAAATGAGCGACCAGTATTTAACCAGAAAGCGAATGAGGTAGTCAGCGGGACTCATACACCGGTGTAGCGACGAGTGTCGAAATAATCGATACATACACAAAGGGCCGGCAGTTGATCTTCTCCCAACCTCTGTAATCTTCCCCTCTGTCTTTACAGCTTCGTCTGACTTGCGCACAACTCTGAAAAGTTCACCATTCAAATCGCCGTACACTTCCAGTCTGGTTTCGGTAAGTGTGCTGATATCTTTCTGATGGCATTCGACGATTGATCTGAGTTCCTACTTTGATCTTTCGAATTTGTGACCAAGGCGGTAACTTGAAGATCTAATGTCGAGGATTGTCAGACAATGTCCGTCTATGCCATGCATTTGTTTCATGTGAAATGGGCCCGATACTGGCGATCTTCTCAGTATGGGATGCCGGAAATGCTATCAACCACGAGCAACATTGTCCAAGCAGAAGGCAGCCTTCACATCTTGGCACAGATGCATCACTGACCGCCATATTGACCAGCCCTTAGGGGGATGATTCCTTATAGGAAGGCGCTTTGTCCCTCAACAGACTACTTGCATTTCCTAGTTAGTGAAGAGTGAGTAAGGGATTTCGAGCACACCGTTCGTCGGAAAAATGCGTATACCCCCACTCGTGCACGCTTTTCCGCTTGTTGGAAACGATATCCGGCCGGACACTTTTACATCAGAAAACTAGTAGTAAGCACCTAGTTCTGAACATCCGTCAGTGAGACTTTCCATATCGCTGGTGATCCATTGCTTCAGTTGATTGTTAGCAGTCTGATGAGATTTGGGAGTTTTCAACAGAGATTTCCTTCTGTAAGTGGAGCCAATCTGCACTACTAAAAAACGAGAAGCACTATTCAGCTCTTCCACCCCGATTGATACTCATGCGCATTGCGCACCAGACGGAACCTCAGGGAGCTTCGAACCTGGAATCTCCCGAGTAGTCTCAAACTAACGACTTATCACCGGTGTGATTAACTCTCACGTAGTCAAGATATAGCGCATTATGTACATACCCTATGTATCAGTGTTCTTTACTATCCTAAGCATCCAAGTGTTTTTGAAAACGAAAAAACAGTGGTTATTGCTAAATTTCATTCACCGTACATCGACTGACGTACGAATCCCGTTACATCCTACCGTAATTCTCCCAAATTCCCAATCAATCTACGATTATTTTTCCCTTTGACTCATCGCTAAACATAAATATGTACCAGTTGACCTTCAGCTCCCTGAATCGTTATGGTGTCCTTGGCAGTGGCTGTATTCATGAATAACCCGTTCCATCCGTTTTCCAACTAGTCAGGTAGTCACCTTTTGACTGACTTGCCCGAACACTCGCCCCAGTATGACCCATATTTTCGTAATACGGAACTTCACATAGGTTTACGCTCTATACTACCGTAATGTATGGCCCCATGATTTGTTCGCTAACCTGAGCCGCTTGGTTACAAACGTTTCATCACCAGTCGAGGTGATGTAATCGGTGCTTTGTTATTGGAAATACAACAGGGTTGCCCGGGTAAACCACCTCCATCACAGCCTGAGCTACCGATGTAACGGTGATACTACTAATGAGGGAGGCATGCGAGTAGTATGTTTTCTTCTTGTAAATTCGGTTTGTGTCTATTGAAAAGAGAGATCTGTTGCGGAATTCGTGGACTCGCCTTGTAGCCTTTGCTTGGATTTGAGAAACAGTCAAGGAATATCCAGAAAAGCTCAGGAAGACGCGTCCAAGAGAGGGTGGATGTTCAGTTTTTCTATACAAGATGCATATGAGAGTTTTGCTTCCCTGTCCAATAGTCTGTAACTGGTCATTTGGCATTTTCCAATAAATAACTCCGCGGCGAAGGCCTTCTTCCTTCCACCAATACTCTCTCCCGCTCGACAAAGGCTTTTTGGCTCGATAAGATTGTTCTCACGATTTCTCCACTACTGCCCGTTTCATTCTCTCGTTGAATATTTCGAGTTCCCTGGTGAAGTGAGAAGTTAGCAGCTGTGGGTTGAATACAATGGTTTTGGTGTGGGGCCACCATTTTCCACTATCGTTAACCATTTGGTGTATCCAGTCCAAAAGATAGCTGTTGAGCTGGCTGAGTTCACTGTTTAGAGCTTTCACATTTCGTTGCCAATTCTGTGTTGTGATCGTTCTCATCCAATGCATTGCTGGGCACATCGAACTCTGCGAAGCAGCCTATCCTCTGGCACGCAGAATGTAGTGCGCGATTAGCTCGTCCGTCCTTGGAGCGTTTCCTAGTCGTAAAACCATGTGGCATACTTCAGCACTGCTAATCCCATATTCCCTCAGAACGTAGGCACATAGGAGACACTGACTGTTTGACCCCGAAAGTCTTCACGCCTTCTCCGCATGGAGGCAGTAGGGACCACGATGTATACTCTGGCTTTCGTAAACATACTGATGCCACACCAATTCGGCAAAACCCACCTTTATCTTCCCAGTTCGAGAAGTAAGCTCAGTTTCATCCAGCCCACCAAGGCGTTCGTTCGCCTGCAAGCATAGCATAACCCCTCACTTCGCAGATCTAAATTGCGTTCCGAACTAACCCACATTCATCGCTATAATGGGATTGAACCCTACTTGACCGCCGAACAATCTGTCGCGTTAGAGCTGGACATGCTTTAGCTACCATACTGAGTAATGTGAACGTTTCTTCTATCAGTAATGAAACTGGAGCAACGCAACCTTAAATTCCCGAAATTTCGCCGTTCAAATTTTGAGAGTCAGCCCTACAGAAAGCTAGTTCATGTTCAGGTTTAGAGCAAGATAAAAGTACCACCACATTCTCACAAATTCTGATGGTTGTACTTGCGATTTTTCCATCCCCACGGTGACCATCGTGGCCATTTATTATTGCCCTTGATTCCCCAGCTGTAGTGACCACATTTCGTCCTGTTGATCGCGAGGTATCATGACTGCGTATTTACTGATTCTCAAAGTAAATATTGCATCACTGACAAACTCCTCATGTCTAAACTGGGGAACAAGAAAGTCAGGCACACAGAATCTGTGGTGGTACCTCCTCTAGCCAGTACACTTTTTAGAGCATACTCGTTCAACAACTCAGTTTTATCGTCCACGTTTTGTTGTGCGCACAGATCCATCTCCAACTGACTCGTCTTAATTGCCAGTTATTGCCGGTGTAGACATATCTTGACGATCATTGTTCAGCTTTGAACAATCCGCACAGTAGGTTTGGGTAAACACTGAGTTGGCCTATGATGTTATATGGTCTACAACGCCCAACAGTCCCTTCTCAGACAAGGACCACTCATGGGGACAGCCTGACTGGTCCTAGTTCTGGACTGGACAGTCTATCATCTACGGGGAATATCTGATCTCAGTCGCCGGTCAGTTAATATTGTGAATGCCCCAAATTTCAATAGTAATAATAACAATAACATAAAAACACCCTTTCTGTAAGGTAACGAACATCCATCATAGAGATCAGCTTTTATAGCTCACGAAAGCTGTCACCGTTGGCAAGCCACCGTTTCATAACTGGGTCCAAACTCGTGGGTGATTCCATGGGAACTATTCCCACGCTGATTGGTTGTTGGTCTGTTCGCCGGGCTTGGCAGTTGGATTGCAAACGTTTCATCACCGACCGAGGTGACATCGCACTGACAATGTCACCTCGACCAACAACCAACAGACCAACAACCAATCCGCGCACCCGATCCACCCATATTCCACAACATTGGCAATATTCCTACTCTGCTGTGAGCGACAAAGGGCCGACACTTATATCTGCGTTGTCTAAGACTATCAGAAAGGGGAGCCCCTCTCCTTTTAAGTAGATCACTTCGGGTCGTTGTCCCCATGTAATCTGCCGATCAAGAAGGTGTAGTAAACTCGATCCGCATCTATTTACAGTATGCGAAGGCTCACCGGTTGATCATATTCTTGTAGGAGGAATCACCAGGCGCGAGCCACATATGGCCTCAGCTAACATGTGGGGAAAATCACAGAAGTTGTTCGCTAGACAGGTGAAACTCACCTTAAGTTGAACCACGTAGAATGGGCAAATTTATGATCACGAATTCAGCCCGAGCAAGACTCTCAGAACGTTCATCCAGTTTCCTTTGAATCATCGGTTCAGTATTTAGAGCGCGAATTTACTGATCGGAAGGTCCGTGGTTCGAATCCAACTTCTGCCTCTTGGCTTCCCCTGTCTAGGCTTGGGCATCATGGAAATCTACCGGCCCTCGTGCGTCTGTTGGCATAGCAATTAGGCACCGAAAGGGTGCTAAAACTGAACGGTCAGTTCTTCCAGTTAATCATTTAATGATCTAATCATTATTGGGACCGATTGAGAAGTCATCATTTCAGAAGGGTTTGGTCGTTTAACCACCGAATATTTACCAATCCCCTTTGGAACAAGGACCTACTGATTACTTTTCGACGCTAACTACACAGTAGAACATTGATCTGTGGGGTTGACTGACCAACCGCGCTGTGTCCCATCGCTCGAACTGTTTCAGTCCTGGTAATCTGTTGAATCTCTCCCTCAACTCATGAAGTAATTTAGCTATTCAGTCGCTCCTTATTTTCAGTACTCATTGCAATCATTTATTCGATTCCTCATGGATACCCTCCAGAATTGACTGTACCTGATCTTTGATCTTTTTTTCAGAAATCGCGACACCAGGCCAAAGACGACGACGAGGTGGTCGCAATGTGAGAAAGCATCACATGGCATTTTCGCTCATCTACTCAATCTTTTCCTCTCCTCTCAGCATGTTCGCTTCACTCTGGTCATTTCAAGGGTTGCCTGTTTCGCGCCCCCCCCCCTCCTAGCCTATTTCTCAGTCATACTTTCATGAATACCACTATTTCGGACCATCCATCGTTTGCATTTGGGTAACCTACACATAGCCGTGCAATTTCGTGCTTTATCCTTATACTCCCCGGTGCATAAAACTGTTTGCTTCGCTCCCTCCTCGCCACACGATTTATGCTCTTATCTCGGCCTTCTTTACTGTTTTCTCCACATCAAGGTCCTCTGTATCACTATGGTGAAAATGATCACTTCTTACTTTCACCTGCGCCTCGCAACGCGCGTAATCTATCTGTGCATACATATATACATATGAGAATTCGAGTTTAGGTATCCTGTGTTCTTTGCTTTGCTAACGGAAGTTCACGCAACAATTCACTGTACTACTTACTCTACATGAGAACATACACGGTTGTCGGATTTTTCATACCCATCTGTGAATATTGAAACACTGTGGCTAGGAAACTCTTTGCTTTGGACGGGGTGTCGGTCGCTTTTATCTTCGCTAAAAATTGGTGAGATTAGTGGGGCCCAGTTTGAATATTGACAGCGTAAAATTTGGCACAGAACCTTTGACAACCTATCCGATCCATCTGCGTCTATCTGCTGATTCGCCAATCTATTTACTGTATCTGACTCCTGATCCCTCTCCAGTGCCTGGTGTCGAAAAAAGACCCACAGAAGGGAACACAACATCTTCATTCCGAACAAGCGAGTGCGAAAATACAACGGCCTCAAGTCATTTCATTGGAGCAACACTGAACTCGGTCCGGCGCTGACTCGCACAGTCTGGCTGTGATGCGGTGCATACTGAGGGGGGATGTCTGACCTTGATCCAATGCTGTCTCACGCTGATTGGCTTTGATACAAGGCTGTGACGTGCTGCATATTGCGGGGCGTTGTCTGTCTGATCAGCACCTAGTCTCAGTAGATTTCGGGTATTTAGAGGTTGATTTCAGGAATCTGACTTTCCCGATAGATATCTCTGATCTGTCCTTCCGGAGGCTAGATCGCCCATGTGGTTAGAGCGCAAATTTAGTGACTGGAAGGTTCGTGGTTCGAATCCGACCTCTGCCTATCGACCTCCCCTGTCTAGGCTCGGGCAACCTGGCAGTATCCCATCCCTCGCGCAACCTTCGGGTGGCATGGCAGTTAGGCACCAAAAGGGTGCTACAGCTGAACTATTTTTTCATGGCAGCTGATTGCTGTAAGCCGTGTCAAGTGTATAAGCTCGATCGACATCATGAACCTCCCCACAGGGTCTCGTCAAGAAATTCTACTAACCCTGTACAGTGTGAGAAATGTTTATAAGACCGCTTGAATGTTTAGACTCATCCAGTCAAATAACGAGGTGTAAAGATGAATCGTCAAACATAAGCGCGGCATCGATTTTCCGAGTGCGTTTTCTGCCAATAGGGCCGCCCAGTCATCGATTCAATCGTCAATTTTCCCTCAGCCTCATGAAAGTTACCTTCAACGTAGTTTTGCTGACTTTCTTCAACTTCTGGTCCTTCAGTGTTCAACTTTTTTCGTGCTCCCTTCCTTCATACCTGTTTTTTTCATAGTTATGCGATACATCGATTGAAGGTGAGGGTGGTAACCCTGTTTGTCGTCGTTATCTTACTTCCCAGTCTGCATAAGTTTGAGAGTGCTGACCATGAATTATTCATTAATATGGGAGTACAAACTTTGTTTCGTTTGATCACATAATAGAAATTCTTGCGGATATAAACCCATCCGTTGTTTTTTTCGGTTCCGAAGTCTACCAGTTTCAACCTTCAGTATGCGGTTCTACTGATTTTGCTCTACCGAATGGCCAGTTTTCATTTCTGTACTAACTCGTTTGGGCGTATATCCTGTTCACCAATGCCACGAATCACTACGATCAGACTGATGCGTTCAGATAAAGTCGATTAGATTGAGTAACGCGAAAAACAAGACCGAATAATATTGACACGAAGCCCGAGGACGCCTGATAATCAACGGATAGTTATATTTGCGTGGTGTTTGAATGACTGGAACAAAGTAAGTTAGGTCATGCGAGTGAAGTATTCGAAATGCTAGTAGCCTCCTCCGTGTCAATTGTTCTGTTACCGGCTTGCCTTCCGAAGGTTTCAGTATGGCACTTCTAGGGAAGTGTGAACTCTCTCAGTTACAAATTCGGCAGACTACCATTTGCCAACTCTTTCTAGCCGACAGATAAGTCCAGGTAGGCTGAAGGAATGCCCAACCAGATCACATGATCTGTCATTTTTGGACATTGTATTTTGGGTTTTTTAGAAGGAGCAGTTTGCCGCAGACATCTGACTCAAAACGGTCATAGAGTACGCTGTCAACTGCCGGAAACAATACTGTTGAGGGTGCACGAATTGTGTTTGAACAAGATTGTTCCGGGTTAGCATCCTGATCCACAACTTCGGTACATACTGCATGTATTCATTTGTGTCTGTTACGCGTATTGATTCTTGACTTTTCACCCTCCATTCCGAGAGGTTTCTGCACAGTGAACTGTACATCCGGGTTGGTTTTATTTCCGGTTCTTTAGACAAATAGGTTTTAGTAAATGTTCTAGAAAGCTAATTAGGATGCTTACCGGGGGGTTTGTCTCCAACCAAGACAACTGTCAAGGCAAAAGCTAGATGGGCTATTATGTTAGGCAGGCTCGAAGTTTAAAACAGTGATAAAACGGCATGAACCTCCCAGTACTTCTTTCGTATGTATATGAATCTCAAGAATTATCTGTAGCAGCTTGAAGGACGATAAAAGCAACAGGAAGAGGCACATTAAAAGTCATCAACATGCACAAATGACCCGGTGTGGAGACGAAGAGACTGGACCTTACCGCAGTGTGGCGGTTTGTGTACCTCGGCGACCCATTGAGCTGTACTGAGGGGTGTCCGCGCCACACTCGCAGACTCTCATACCAGGTTGGTCCATGGGTAGAGGTCTGACGAACACAGTCTCCTGGCCCTCCAGGTTGGGAGTTGGAACATTTATGGCGACGTGTTCCGTAAAAAAATGTTAATGTACTTGCATTTCCAGCTGAACACCGCTGCTTTGTGGTAAGGCCTTTGAGCCAAAGGCTTTGGTTGGGGACCCTGGTCGTCCTCCTGTCAAGGTGTGGGCGCCCTGACAGTATCCCAGCCCTCGTACAACGATGACCTTCACAACTAACAATACTCTCATGCCACATCGGTGCAGTGAAGCATCAGTGTTAACACTGATGTTGCTGTCTTTGATGATGATGATGATGAGCTGTGTGGGAAACTAAACAGTTAAAAACCACGGTGCGTACACAAGATACCACCGGCGCCATCCTTTGGACACATCTGGCTAGCTAGTGATAAGAACTCGGTGATGAACATTAGTATTCCCGAGATCTTATTGTCAGGTCAGTACATATCTAACGGTTAAACTAATGAAATAGACAGCTAAGATTGGCAACTAACTTAGAAAACGCTGAAAAACGGACGATTTGTTGTTAGCCGACTCCATGTCGCATCTAATTGGATGCTTCGAGGCGGTCTAGGAGGCAGCTGAGCGACTCGGTAGATCGATTCGTTCCACATGACCAAGGCAGATTTTGCGCTCGTATGAATCGTTTCTGACAGCATAGTATCGTATTTACCAACGTATTGTGCCTGTTTCGGCCGTAGCCAAGCGGCGCCGTTAGATCGATGCCAGCAGCCTATTGGGCACTCGGTAGGCGATGCGAAACGGCTCGTTCGGATTATCAGGTGACCTATGTCAATTGTGTGGCGTGAGTGAGTACTTGGCTGAACCACTGAGTTTAGTGGTGTTCCGATGAGAGAGATGCTCACGTATTCTCAGCGAGTTGGCACGTCATTCGCCCAACGTATTTCGCCGAACAACAGCAGAAGTAAGAATGCACAACCATATTCTGGGTGAGAACTGGGATCTTCTCTTCACGGTTTAATTTGAGCAAAGAGTCTGTTGTTTGCCACAACATCAAAATTGCCGCCGGAAACGTGCGTTGTAGGGTTTGAAACAAGGGGCGGTTGACTATCTACCAACGGCCTCAAACAAACTGACTTCCGTACAACGGTCGGCTAGAAAGGATGTCCTTGTTAAAGCCGTTGCAATAATCTAGCTAGTGATAGCCGGTGACCCGTTTGGTTTGCACAACGGGTGCCGCAGTAAATTGCTTCCTCAAAACTAACGTGAAAGCGTGGAGCAGATCAATTGATTTTACCATTCTTTAGTGACAGCAAAATCCAAAATAGTAGCTGCCTTAGGGATCTGAGCTAAATGGAACCTCTTCAATTCCGTTTGTCTCTCTTACCGACAACCAGTCTTCCGCTCTAGTTCCCCTTGGTGTTCAAATCACATGAGAGGTTCGAAACTCCACTCTTTCCACATATCGCTAACCTGCTATTGCTAACGATCCTTCACCACGAACGAATACGATGTGATAGACATGAACAACG